AAGTGTTTTTCAGTTCTAGGATCTCAGGATGTTCCATACCATTTATTTGTCATATCTCTTTAGGTTTCTCTTGGCTGTGACAGTGTGTCATCATTTTCTGTTTTTTTTTTTAATAACCTTAACAGTTTTGAGGAGTCCTGGTCAGTTATTTTGTAGTACTTCCTTGAATTAGGATGTTTTGGATCTTTTTCTCAGAATTAAAATTGGTTTATTTGATTTTGGAAAGAAGACCACAGAAGGAAAGTGTCATTTTCCTCATGTCATATCAAGAGTACATGTGATTTGCCAGGACTCTCACACTTTTTATCGACCTTCATCAAGTGACTGAAGTAGAATATTAAAGGTTTCTATGCTTTAAAGTTATCCCTATCACTATGTTTTCATACTGTATTTTTTGGAAAAAAAAGTTGTATATAATATAAAATAGTCCATGCTTAAGGAATGGCAAGTCATTCTTCACCTGTCAGTATGGCTTTTCTGCATAAATTGTTCAAAGTTGTTTTTCATAGATTTGTCTATTCTTTCCCATTTAGATATTCAGCAACTTAGAAATTTATATCAGTGAGGACCATGGATATGAAAATGTATTTTATACACAGAATTAAAAATCCAGTACTATGCTAACCCTTTGTTTAAATGGCCCTATATTGGGCTCTTGGGGTCTCCTTCAGTTAGCTTATTTGCCCCCTGATGTGTTCACATCACTGGTGCATTTGTATGTGTGTCTGTGTGTGTGTGTGTGTGTACTTGATGTTATAAAATGATCCAGGCTCATCTTAAACATATCCTGCCCCAATCCTTGAAGCAACTGACTTTTTAAGCAATTGTATTTTCATGTATTAGAGAATGGTTCTAGAAACCAAGAAGTGACTGCTGGGCACAGTGGTACACACAGGTGTGTATGGTTTAAAAGGAGGAAAGTTCTATTGGGGTCACATTTTTAGAGGTTTCAGTTCCTGATTGGTGGGTGCATTGCTTTTGGTAATATTGGGGTACAGCACGTCAGAACAGGAGCACATAGAAGAGAAGGCTGCTCACTGCGTGGCACATGGAAAGTGAACAAGGGAAAGAAAGGGGTTGGGGTCTCAATAGGCCCTTCGAGGACATGTCTCCAATCCCCTAACTTCCTTTCACTAGGTTCCACATCTTCAAGGTTCTACCATCTCCCAGTGGGAGGCTGAGGTAGGAGGATCAAAGGTTCAAGGGCAGCCTTAGCAACTTGGTGAGGCCCTCAGAAACTTAGTGAGACCCTGACTCAAAATTAAAAAATAAATAAATAAAAAGGGGTGGGGATGAGGCTCAGTGAGTAAGTGCCCCTGGGTTCAATTACTTTTGCCCCCCCCCCAAAAAAATAAAACTGACTACTTGATATGCTCATACTCATTACAAATGGAATAACGGTAACTTTTAAGCTTCTAGATGACAAAGCAAGAAAAGTTACCTATCTTAATGGATTTGTCTTTAAGTAGTTTCACCTTCATTTTTCACTTTTCATTGTTTCAGTTAACCAAAATCAACCATGCTCCAAAAATTTTAAATAGAAATTGCCATATTGTTCAGCCATAAACCACAATGAAATCCTGTCAGGTGGATGGAAATGCACCACATAATGTCAAGTGAAATAAGCTAGACATTGTGTTTCAGTCAGCTTTTTGCTGCTGTTACTAAAAGCTCTGACAAGAACAGTTTTAGAATAGGAAAAATTTAATTGAAGGCTCATGGTTTCAGAGGTCTCAGTCCATAAACAGCTGGACCCATTCATCAGGGCTTGAGGTGAGGCAGAACAACATGGCAGAGGGTGTGATGGAGAAGTGACTCCCGTGGTGATCAGAAAGCAGAGAGATGTTCCTCTCTCCAGGCACACAATATATACCCTAAGGCAGGCCCCCAGTGCCCACCTCGTACAGTCACACCCTACATACTTTTGGTTACCACTCAAATAAGCCTCATCAAGGGATGAGTTCACTGATTGGGTTAAGGCTCTCATAACTCATTCATTTTAGTTAATGTTCTTGTATTGTCTCTCACATGAGCTTTGGGGGACACATCACATCCAAACCATAATACACAAAAAGACAAGTAACATATGCTCACTTACATATGTGGAAGCTAAAAAAATATAGGTGACTTGAATTAGAGTAGTGATTACTAGAGGATGGGAAAGGTGTGATAGAAGAAGGATAGATAAAGGGAGAGTGAATGGTTTGATCAATGCATAGATTAAATGGATAGAAATACCATGATTGAACACATTAACTTGTACATTAATACATGCTAATGAAAATAAAATAATTAAAAACTGATAGATAAGCAACCTTATGTTTTACACAACTTTTTGTATTATTGTATCTTTTATTTTATTACAAATTATTGTTAATCTCTTACTGTACCTAATTTATAAATTAAACTTTATTGTAGGCATGTTTGCTTAGAAAATATAGTGGGGCTCAGTACTACAATTTCAATCATCTCCTGGGTGTCTCATGAAGTATGCCCCATAAATAAATAGGGAATTCCTCTATTCATATCTATATTAATGCATAAGATGCTATGAACTTTATCTATATTAGCTAAATAGGAGTTCTTAATGATGTCTCCAACTATTATTCAATATCACATGATCCACTTGAAACTCTCTCACTTATCTTTATCCTTCTACCCCAACAGTAAAAACCTGGCTCTGCCATTCACCAACTTTTACTTAATATTTAATTATGTTATATGTGTATGGTGGTTTCAGACCATTTAACTCATACTCCATGGAAAATAATTTTATCAAATTGAGAATGGTGCTTATGTTGAATTTCTTTGTCTTTAGTTGTACATGCATTTAGAATATGAGGTCATATTTTCATTCCATGTTGAGATGCCCCAGAATACTAAAATGATTTTTAAAGTTCTTTTTATTAAAAAAAAAAAAAAAACTTTAGTTACCTTTTTTTTTTAACCAGGATTTTTTTCTGGTAAGGTAGGTTATAAGGTATAAAAGATATTGTTATTGTCATTGTGTTCTCTCAGATTAATTTGGAAGTGGGTAATGAGATGTTAATAGTGTGGTGGAAGTCTGGGCGACATGGAGCATGCTTGTAATACTAGCAGCTTGGGAGGATGAGGCAGGAGGATCACAAGTTCAAAGCCAGCCTCAGCAATTTAGCAAGGCTCTAAGTAACTCAGTGAGACCCTATCTCTAAATAAAATACAAAAAAGTGGAGGGGGCTGGGATGTGTCTCAGTAGTTATGCAACCCTGGATTCAATCCCCAGTAACAAATAAATAAATAAAATAAAACATAAAAAATAAAATAGTATGGTTGAAGTTTTCTAGGTTCTATCATAGGATTTAATTGCACCCAAGAAGTGCTAGGTTCTTCTATCTTGGGTCTTTTCACATTCCAGGGTAGCTATTGAGGTATGTACTAAAACCAGTCAGGTAAAAGAGGAATACTGAAAACCATGCAAAGGGAGAATATGTAAGTCTACAGTTGCCAGAGTTATTGACTTTTTTCAGTATATATCTGAACTTTTATGTGATTTGTAATAATATTTTACATTTACTTGTGGTAAAATAAACAATATAAAATTTATCAACTGAAACACTTTTAAGTATTTACTTCAAAAGAGATAAGCAGAATAAAATTATTTTTCAACAAAGTGTTTATATCTTTCAAAATGTAAACTCCATATGCCTTTAAAAACATCTTTATTTAACCTTTCTCTCAGCCCCTGGTAACACCAACATATTTTCTGTTTTTTTTTTATTACTATTATTATTACTATAAATATCTTGTGTAAAGTGGAATCATACAAGATTTATATTTTTTTGCTGGATAATTTCACTCAGTAAAATATCTTCAGTGTTTATCCATATGGTGGCATGTGAAAGGATTTCCTTTCTTCCATTATATATAAGGCTGAATAACATTTATTTTTATTTATTTATTTATTTATATTTATATTTATATATAATTTCACATATTCATCCTTCTCTGAATGGACATTTGAATTCCTTCTACTCCTTGGATATTTTGAATACCACTACAGTGAACACGAACGTGCCAATATCTAAGTGGTGGAACATGTGCTCAGCATGTGCAAGGCCCTCGGGTCAATTTATAGTACCAAGAAAAGTATGAAGGGAAAAAAAAGTGAAGTAAAGCTGAATATCAAATTATATAAAACTGAACAACACTGTGTGGGGATAAAAATCACCCAAGAAAGTGATGACTACAAAACTTAGGAGAGCAGTTACATTTGGAGGTTAATGATTAAGCTAGATTTCACAGTGGGGCTACTGAATGATAAGTCAAATTATTTTTCTTGGTATGGTAATGATTAAAAAGTTATTCACCTTATAATAATTTATTAACCTATAGATTTACTGAAAAAAAAGATTGACGTATTTGCCTTTTATTTTACCACAAAAAAAGTTGAATGAAATTAAATCAAAATAATATTTGAATCATACAAAAAGATTTCACGTCTGTGCTACTTTTTACATTGCATCTTCATCAATTAAACTCTTCATAAACCATGAGATTCACCTATGTAAGGTGGAAAACTCAGTGTTTTTTTTTTTTAATATTCAGAGTTGTGTACTCACTATTGACTAGTTTAGAATTACTTTATCAATCCCTCAAAAAAAAAAACCCATAATCATTAACGGTTTCTGTATCCCCCTTCTCTCTGTTTTTATTAACCATTACTCCACCTCAATAAATTTGCTTTGTTTGATATTTTGTATAAACGCAGTGATGCAACATGTGGTCTTTCATGCTTGGCTTCTTTTACTTAGTACCATGATGTGGACATTAAATTTCCTCAAAGGCTCATTTGCTCAAAGATTGGTGACAAGTCTGTGGAGCTACTGGGAGGTGTGGCTTTAAGACACGGGACCTATTTTAAGAAAATGACATCACTGAGGTCAGGCCTTTGGATGCCAATATTTTCATTCAAGAAGCTCACTCTATCCCTTTGCTTCTCAGCCACCCTGGGGTGAACGGACCTCTTCAATCTCATCCTCCCAACATGATGCAGTGTACTGCCTCCGGTCCAAAGCAATATGGTCAAATGACCATAGAAACACCTGAAATAAAGAAGCAAAATAAACCTCTCCTCCTTCAAATTGTTTGTTTTAGATATTTTGTCACAGTGATAGCAAATTGACTAACATACCTGGTATGTTCATAGGGTTTACCCAGGTTCTAATATGTGTCAGTACTTAATTCTTTTTGTTGCCAAATACTATTCTATAATATGGTTATATTGCATTGTGTTTATTCACTTACTAGATGATAAGTTGTTTCTAAATTTGGTCATTATAAATCATGCTGCTATGAACACTTTTATACAAGTTTTTGCATGGATACATATTATTTATATTGGGTACTACATAAACTCAAACTGAGGGGAATCAAAGACAAAGAGGAAATCCTAAAGAAAGAGTGGTAATAAAAACAACTTATAAATAGTGAAAGAACAATTAGAATTATAGCTGACTTCTCAGGAGAAACCAAAAAAGCAAAAAGAAATCAAAATATTTAAAGGATTGATGGAGATAACACACATTCAGAATTCTATATCCTGAGAGGTAATTATCATTCTGTAGTGGAAGAATAATTACTTTATCAGATAAACAATAACAGAAAATATCATACAAGTAGACAAACACCGAAACAAGTGGTATACAAATTTCTATAGGGAGCCAGGCGCAGTGGGGCACACCTTCAATCCCAATAGCTTGAGAAGATTAGACAGGAGAATTGAGAGTTCAAAGCCAGCCTCAGCAACTTAGCATGGATCTAAATAATTCAGCAAGACCCTGTCTCTAAAAATAAGCATAAAAAATGGCTGGAGATATGGCTCAGTGGCTAAGTGTCCCAGGGTTCAATTCCCGGGCCCTCTCCCACACACACAAAAAAAATATAGGGAATAGAAAATGATATGTTAGAAGCTCAAATCAACATAAAAAAAGAACATCAATGAAAGCCAGAATGGAAGTAAATAAAGGATCTTGTCTTCTATCAGTTTTAATTGACTGGAAATAAAACTTTTCAAAATAGTACTGTAATGGTGGCTATGGTAATGATATAGGTAAGTGAAATGAATGATAGCGATGTCATTATAGCTGGAAGGGGTGAAATGGAGATATTTTGTTAAGAGATAATTATGCTATACATAAAGCAGTATGGTGATATTGGAGAGGACACATGTTGTTAAAAATCCATGGAGGAAATTCTGAAGCAAATACAATATCAATTATGATTGATACCACAAGAAAAGAGACAGAACAGACTTAATAAAATGCTTAATTTAATCCCAGTATTTTAAAAAAAAGAACAGAGGAAAAGAAAATAAAGAAGAGAGACAACAAATAGAGAAAAATATAAACATGGTAGATGCAATTTAGCTATGTCAATAATTACATTTGAATGGCAAAAAAATAAATTAAAGTCAAATATTGTCAAGTGTATATAAATCTAAACTCAATAAGAAACATAATTTAAATGAAGACTTTAATAGGTTTAAGTTAAGGGATAGAGAAAAATATATGCATTGCAAACATTAATCAAAGATAGCTGCAAGAGATTTTAGTTATATATGCATTGCAAACACTAATCAAAGATAGCTGCAAGAGATTTTAGTTATAGACAAATAAGATCAGGGAAGGAGAACTATCAGAAGTAATTTCCATTAAATAATTATTAAATGGAGAATTAAATAACAATAAAGGTGTAGAATCTCTAAGAAGACATAGCAATAATAAACATTCAAGAAATAGAATACCAAAATATGTGTGTAAATATTGCTATAATTGAAAGGAGAAATAAGTATATCTATTATAATTATAGCCTTCAGCAGTACTCTCAAAAATTGATAGTTCAAGTAGGCAGCATTTCAGTGAAGATATTCTTAAACTGAGCAACACTATTATTATATTGTTATAGTTTCATAGAATGCTTCTTCTAAACATGGCAGAATACATATTCTTTCCAAACTTACGTAGAAAATTCACAAAAATATGTCATAAAAAACAAAGTTTAACGAATTTAAAGGAAGAGTAACATAAAAAGTATGTTTCCAGTCAAAAAAGGAGTTTAAACCAAAAATTGATTACAGAAAGCTATCTAGAAAGTCCCCAAATGTTTGGAGATTAAGTACAGTCCCTCTATATAATATACCACTCGAAGTTAAGTTTAGAAAAAATACTTTAAAATATTTTGAGCTAAGTGAAAATTAAAGAACAATTTATCAAAATCTTTGGAATGCAAAGAAAGCAGTGCTGAGGTAGAAATTCATACCACTAAGTGCATACATTACTAATGAAGATTAAAATCAATGATCTAAGCTTTCACCATAGGAAATTAGAAATAGCAGAGCAATTGAAGCCTAAAGGAAGAGTAAAACAGATAATGAAAATTGCAGAGGAAATCAATGAAATGGGAAAAATATATCTACTTTTTTAATGATCAGTAAAATTGATAACTCTATGATACTAAAAAGAAAGAAGGTACATAGAACAAATATCAAAAATGAAAGAGGGATTATTCATAATGATTCCATGAACAAGAAAAGGTTAATAAAGGAATCCTGTGTACAATTCTATGCCCACAATTTTGATAAATTACTTGATATAGGTCAAGTATTTATATTCCTAAAACTCGTGAAAGGAGAAACAGAAGTTCTGAAATGGCCCATTAGAAATCAAACCAATAAATAATAAAATTACAAGAAGAAAGCACTAACTCTAGCAATTTTTTCTAGGGAGGTCTATCATACTTTTAATGAAGAAATGATAATTCTCCACTATTTTGTCTGGAAAATAGAAGCAGAAGTAGCACTTTTTAACCTCATTCTATGATAGCATTAATCAAATATTCAAAAATGCTTTGAAAAAGCAGTAAAGAAAATAAATTTAGACCAGTATTGATCATGAACATAGCTACAAGAATCAAACTCAAGAATATATAAAATATACACCACATCGAATGACATTTATTATAGTTTGGCAAGGATGACTCACCATTTTTAATTTAACCAATGTAATCAATGACATCAAAAAGTTACAGAAGAAAAATCACATGGTCATGTCCATCAGCACAAAAAAAGTATTTGAAAGAATTTAACATAGTCATATAAAAGGTGTACAAACTAGTGATAGGGGTTTAACTTTCTAACTTAATGAAGATCCGCAAAAACCAACTAACTTCATGCTCAATGGACAGAAACTAGACATCTGCCCACTAGTACCAGAAAAAAGGTGAGGACCTTGCTCATTCTACTGTCCGAAGTTTACTAGAAGTCCTGACTAATTTACTACAACAACAAAAAAATAAGTGCAAGTAAGTTATATAGATTGTATAGAAGGAAACAACAGTTAATTTTTTCAAAGATGACATGATGATCTATGTAGAAAATCCCACTGAATCTACCAAAACCAAAACCAAAACAAAATCTTGCAAGACAATAGGAAAGAAAATGAATATATAATAGTTGCTGTCTTTCTTACAAAAAAATTGGAATTAAAATTAGGAAAATAATGACTTTTATGATAACACTGAAGATTAGAAATATGTAGATCTACATCCAAAAAAATTATGTACAAAAGTATAAGTGAAACCCAGACCCTGATGACAGCAGACAATTTAAATGAGCCGATGATATATGTCCTGGACTAGAGCCTGTGATATTGTTTAAATGTTTCCTTCCCTAAGTTGACCAATCAATTTAATAAAATATCCATCAGAATTCCAAATATGTTTTGTAAATATTTAAAATGAATTTTGAGGGCAAAAGAATGCTGAGTATGAAGAATAGATGAGGATATATTCTTTTTGATTTCAAAACTTACGAGAAATCTATAATAATTAATGTAGCACAGTATTGTCAAAAGAACAGACATACTGATTAATAGAAGGAAACAAAAAGACCAGAAAATTTTTCACAAAAAATACAGCCAACTGATCTTCAAAGAGCAAAAGCAATTCAATGGAAAATAGATGGACTTTTCTTTTTGACAAAATTGTCAAAACTGTCATGAAGCCACATGCAAGGAAAAAAAATACAACTTAGAAACAGGCCTTACTTGAGTCAAAAAAACTAATTCAAAATTACTCATGTTACTACACTAAAATATGAACTATAATTTTTTTAAACAGTAGAGGATCCAATGAAAACAAATTTTTAAACAAGACATCAAAAGATAACTGATAAAAGAAAAAGTTGATAATCTAGAATTTATTAAAATTAAATCTTTTGTTCTCCAAAAGGTAGTTTTAAGAGACTGAATATAATGCAGACCTGTAATTCCAACTACCAAGGAGAGTGACCCAGGTGGAACACAAATTCAAGGCCAGCCTGGGCAAGACTATGTGACAAAAAAAAAAAAAAAAATTAAAGGGTGAGGGATCTAGCTCAGTGGTAAATACCTCCTGAGCTCACTCCCCAGTACTTAAAAATAAATAAAATAAAAATAAAAAATACTGAAATCCAAGAAGATATGGTACACACATGCATAAAATATTCATAAAGCATATTTCACATAAAGTAATTATATTCACTATATACAAAGAATTCAATACTCTCAACTAAAAGAAAATAAACAATCCAATTAAAAATGGGAAATATATCTAAACAGACACATAAGAAAAGATGTTGAACATTCCTTTTCATTAAGGAATTGTAAGTTAGAACAGAAAGGAGGTACCAATGCGAGGATGTGGAGCAAGCGTGGATTCTCACTCCTTGTTGGTGGGTATGCACAGCTACTTTGGAAGACAATTTGGCAGTGTCCTGCAAAGCTAAAAACAGCCTTAACATATAATGAAGCAATTACCCTCCTAAATTATACCCAGTTGATTTCAAAACACATATCCTCATGAAACTTGAATGTAAATATTTACAGTAGCTTTGTAATCATCAAATATTGGAAGCAAGGTTGTCTTGCAATAGGTGAATGAATACTCAAACTATACTTCACTCATACAATGGAACACTGTTTTTTGAATCAGCTTTTAAGTCAGGAAAAAACCATCACAAATTTGAAATTCACTTTACTAAGTGAAAGAAGTCATTCTGAAAGACTAC